GGGAGGCCGAGGCCCCCTCCCTCACCGTGCTGGGAGGCGGTTGGCTCGGCAAGACCCCCACCTCAATCCCTGGGTTCCACCTCCCCCTCCTTTCCTTTCCCTCCCCCTTCCAGCTCCCTCCTCCCAGTTTTCCCCCTCCCCTCTCCCACACTCCCTCCTGCCCTTTCCCACCTCCTCTCCCCCGTCTTCCCACAGTTTTATTTCCCCCCCTAGTTTTGTGAAATAAAGAGTTTCTATTTTTGAACACGTGTCCTTTATTTTTGACATCAGGAAGGGGGGCTAGGGAGGGGTAAGTGGAAGGAGGTGAGGGAGGAATGGGGTACGAGCCCCCGATGGGGAGGACTGGGTTGGCTCTGCGGGCTCCTCGCGGTGGAAGCTCTCCCGAACCGATTGACTCCCCCTCCCCCCCAGATGGCAGCCTGCGGCAAGTGCAGCCGGGCTGATGGACAAGTGCTGTGATGTGCCGAGTGTGGGCACTCAGGGCACTCCAAGCCAGGACTGCTTTGCAAGCGGGGAACCCCTGAGAACTGTCTGTCCGAGATGGGGTCGGGTCCCTTTAAGCACAGCCCTCGGCTAGCCTGAGACGGCAGCTCCACACTCTAAGTCCTAATCTGATGCCCTGCCGGCACTGCTTCTGGCCCTCCTTAACCTTGGTTCAGGGTCCACTCAATGTGGACATGCTAGTTCGAATTAGCAAAATGCTAATTCGAACTAGTTTTTAGGTCTAGTTTTTAGGTCAAATTAACTAATTCGAATTAAGTTAGTTCAAATTAGTGCTGTAGTGTAGACTTAGCCTAATGGAATTGGGTGGCCAAATCACATTGAAATTTGGGTCCCTAGTTTTTCTAGGTAGTTTGAGAAATCTCAATCTAAAGTTCTTTTTTCTTTTGCAGAGGTCCAGCTGACTAAAATTAACTAAGCAAGAAGTCTCCAGGAAATTGCTTTAATATGCCAATTCCGAGAAATGTAAGCAAAGACACATATATAGATAGAAAGTCTCCAGAGAAATAACAATGAGTAACAATGAGTATTGAAAGTATTAATTGAAAAGGGTAATTGTGTACATAGATAAGTTACTCAACTCTGACCTTCAAAATATGTAATAGTTTCTGTGGCCTTGGTTGCAACATTATGTTGTCCACTGGTTAAAATAATACAAGAGGCATGGCATTACTGAAGGGTATTATACATTTTACTGGATGCCTAGGCATTTCTCTTCTTTGAGACAATAATAGATAGATAGATAGATAGATAGATAGATAGATAGATAGATAGATAGATCCCATAGCTATTGCATGTCTATTCCATTTTACAACAAAACACCTGGTGTAGTTCTGCACTTGTCCAGCAGGGATGGAACTTGTAGCAAACTGCTCGGGAGACTAGTCTGTGGACAACTATTTCCTAAAAGTGACATTTAAACATGGTGGTAGGGAAATCAAGATAATGATAATTAGATAATGAAACTAAAATATATCAATAATAAACTAATTAGGACTTTCTCTTCAGTAGATAACACTGTATTAACAAAACAGCTAATTTTTGACCATCATAAATTCAGCTGAACATCATGCTTACTTTCTGAGAAGAATAAGCTGACAAAAGGGGTTAGGAATTTTTTTGAATCACAAGATATCGTGGGAAAAGTCAGATAAACTTTCATATTTTTAATTTCTTCTGCTAAGGGAGAATGTAAACTTTAAGACTGTGTGAGGCAATCAGACTGCATTGATGTAAGTGGTGATCAGATTGACCTGTGTGATAATCAGGCCTGCATTGAAGGGAGACATATCAATAGAAAAGAGAGCAAAATATGCCGCATTCAGCTACCACACCAGATCCTGCTATGAGAGAATATTGCTGGGAGAGGCAGGTGCAGATCCATCACAAACTGAGGACAGCTCTCCAACCCCACTATACTTAATAAACACAAGCAAGTAAGCGAATTCACTGAAACTGCAGCTGGGATTAACATGCATTTTTCTTGTTTAATTTGGGCTCTGCCACTCATTTTATAGAGCTAATCTGCTATAGCTATAACAAGACAACATGTTATTTCACAATATGTCCAAAACAAAAATACTGGACATGAGCCCAATCAAATTGGAGAGAGTATAATTCCAAAGTATAAGCATTGTTCTTGGCCCTTATGGGTACATCTATACAAAAGAGGAAGGTCTAAAGTTCTTTTTTCTTTTGCAGAGGGCCAGCTGACTAAAATTAACTGTTGCTGGCTAACTTCTTGCTTAGTTAATTAAGCTGCTGCTATCGATTTTCCAGGGTTCAAATTAGCAGTTTAGTTAAAACAGCTAATTCGAAATGAGAAGAGCACTCCAGTCAATGCTGGAAACCCTGATTTCATGAGGAGTAAGGGAAGTCGAACTAAGAGTATTCTTCCTTCAACTTCCTGCAGTGTAGACAGCACCAAAGGCTGAGCTAAGCTACTTCTACTTCAGCTACGCAATGAATGAAGTTGTATATCTTAATTCAACTTTCTCCTGTAGAATAGATATACCCTATCACAATAATGAGCAGAACCTAACAGGCCAAACTCCAGGGAAGTTCTGATCCAGAAGTGGCTCTAAGCTTTATGAGTCAGTCACATCTCCACATACATCAAAATTTAGAAATAACTCATAAAAACACTAAAAAAGTATTTCAGTAATTTAAA